CAATCAATCAATCAATCAATCAATCAATCAACCAATCAATCAATCATTCAATCAATCAATCAATCAATCAATCATTTTATCATCTATAAACCATGTGCCATAAACGTATCGTTTCCGGCTGTTACAGTTTCGATAACCGGAGATTGGGACAGTGTGGAACATACAGTCAAGCCTTCGAGGCGATGGCGTGTTTGGTTAGTTCGGGAACTAGTTAGCTTCGCATTGAATGCAATAGCTTTGATGCACGAGTGCCATTGACTTCGCGATTGGGCCATTTATGCCAGTGCTATTAACCAGTGGTGAGTTGGATTCCGGTGTCCTTATCTATGGAGGCGACAGCTGTGGACCCGACTAAGTTTACTTCGCTGCCACACACTGTCCACTTCTCAGTCGCATCCACTCAATACATAGCTGGGAGAAAAGGGCTGTGTGAGACAAACTGTCTTCTGGAATGCGGAGTCGATGTCCCATCCAGCTACATATTAAAAATAATGCTGAATGCATGAATTGGGGGGATATGTGGAGCGGTTCTCACAGCAACTGCACCAGGCATCCTATCGACTCGGGGTTTCTTTCGAGTCTTTGAATGCAAACCCCCATGCCTACCCACAAGCGTGAGTGGCAGACCACACGAGATCAGTGGGAAGGGGCTGTGTAAGGCAATGCTTGAGTGACCCGTTAAGTGAAAACCGATATCAAGATCGTGTTTCAGATGCAAGACATCTCATAAAAATACTCATCCGAATCAAGTGTTTTCGTCTATTTACAGGTCATTGTCGGGTGAGGGCAATTTCAACTGGAGATTTATTTTCCCGTTTGATTACATCAAAGCAGAGGATCGAATAGAGTTCAAGGACAAGGGACCATTCGACGTTGAGCCTATCACAATCAAGTCAAACTGTGAGCTTACTTTGCAAATATGGGATGCGGACGTATTTTCCAGCGATAACTTTCTGGGTAAGTAGAGTATAGATTTGGCTGCTCGCATGAGATATGAGTAATCTGAACACGAATCGCTGTTTGAAACAGGTCAGTTTTGATTGGTCCGTTGACGCAATTTGATTGGTCAATTCCCCCGCACCACAGAACGCATTTTCGATGGATGACTCATATAAGTTTTATTGTTGGTAGAAGACTTGTGTCCAGCACCTACTAGACGGATGACAGTGGTGGAAAAAATGTCGGAAGTTCCATACATTTGTTCAGAAGTCCAGCTTCTTACGAAACAGATGAACAAATGGTCACACGTCCTTCAACTTGAAGCGAACAAATAGTATTAGTTAATGCGAGCAGCCGACAGCTCCTGGATGATTCCAATCTGAAAACTGTTTTCAGCTGTTTTTCCATAATCAACACAGAATGCTGACGAAAAAGATCTTGACAGAATCATGTGGAAAACACCTAAAACCAATGGCTTTTTATCATCTCTTCTGGGGTCCACACGCTGCTATCGAATTGCGGCAGGCTGTTAGCTAGTTAGGGCATCATAACGCCTAGGTGAAACAGGCGGTGGTAGTGACAATTTCGGGTGTTTTTTCACTACTCGAAAATCGGTAGTAGCAAATTGGTTAAGGCTTTTCAATGCGACAGAGGAGCGACACGGTGGAGAGATTTGGACGGTCGCCAGGTGTACTGATGGCAAGCTTCTCGTTGAATATTGATCCGTATACACTCAGGGACGAAATTTACGGCACGATCTGTGCTCCTTAAGGTTTCTGTTTAAGAAGGTGAAGTTAGTGAAATCATAGAAAATAACAAGAAATTTAAAAGTAGCGTTTACGAGATGATAACAGCGTACAGAATGGGAGGGATGCGTGTGGCTAACTGTGGACACGCACTGTGATACTATGCTGTCGGAAAAATCCCTAAAACTGCTCGCGCGACATTTTTTCTTAAAGATTATTTCCTTTCCCGCTAACGAATAACTGCATATCATCTTCCCAGAGGTTTCCTGCTCTTGAGCACTGGGCGTAGAATTACACCTCATTCGAAATCGATCGGGTCCACCTTAGATGATGCATTTCGTCAATGCTACTCGTCCGGTCATCGTGCACTCTGAGGAAGTCCTTCAGACTTTCGATGAGTGTCTACCAACGGCCTGTCAACTTAGCTTGAATGTTGCTCCACAGATGTCATCCAGTTATAAGTCCAAAGTATCTGATCAACAAAGTATCTGATAACAATAATAGCTCGACTTCTAAGCCCCTTCAGCGCCCAGCTAAAACTACCCGACAGAAACACGAAGGTTGAGTACTGTCAGTTTGCTCAAGCATTAGCAGAAGCGGTCAAGATGATGATGATAAGGTTGGGTTCGAATCAAGAATCGTCCAGTCAGTAAGATCGCGCCTTAACCTGTGAGCACCAGGTGGCCCAACAGATTGCTCTCAACCTAACTCCTAACAGGTCCGTTATTTTCGGAGCTTTAGTGTTTGTTTTTTCCACCAAACGCAGCTAATATCCACAGTCGCGCGCCAACCATACCTGAATGAGACGCGAGGCATACTTATCTGTATAATAGAAGCACAGATGATGTTCCCTTCTTCCTCAACACCGGGTCACGTTTAAGGGCTTAATTCCGCTCTTCTGTTTACGTGATATTCATTTTTAAACCACAATATCATGCCATCATCATGAATTCCTTTGAAAAGCAAGCGAATTTTTGACGTTGCACCTCCAGGAGGAATTACGATGCAGCTATCATCTATTCCAAGGTGCGCAAAGACACCGAAAAGTTGTGGGCTACATCAACTTGCCCCGGACTGTCCAAGGTTCTCACTATTCAAAAACCCGCAAGTTCGGGGTTGGTGGCCGTGCGCGGATGAAGTGTTTGAAAAATTAGAAGTGCAGGTTAGTTTACTTCATTCACCCTGATAGAAGTTCATCAATGTTTTCTGATCCTTGTTACCCTGGGATTTCGAAAATTGTGCTCGAACTTTACATGCGATAAGCTATACCCATACTTTTGAAGTTCAATAAATACTAGCCATCAGTGGGCCTTTCCTAAACATCGACAACCCAAATGATGACCACTCTGGGAAGGACGAATATGTGACCACTGGTGGGCAAGCCTCTCTCCGTCGTTGCTGATGCAGTTGTATATTTCTCTTTGAATGGGTCTCTCCTGAGGGGAGCTACTTAAAATAGAAACTAGACCAGAAAAAAAAGGCAGTATCCTTGCGGTGTTGCTTCGCATAAACCATCACAGAAGCCGTTCGTCATAAGTAGCATACTTTGCGTGTCTAGCCACAATCCCAACAAACTGAAGCACGTGGGTGTCAACCTCGATAGGGGCAGTCGAGGTGGTGCGGGAGTTGGGTTCGAGACTCGGACCTTGCCCTCAGTAAGTTGGTGCCTTAACAGCAAAGCGCAGACTTCCCCTCCTTGCATGGTTTGTTTTTATGTCACTTATAGTTTTGATATCCGAATAGGCGTGTTACGAACAAGTGCTTACGACGAAATCTCAACTGGTAATTGCAGTCCAAAGGCATCGAAATGTGAGTTAATTTATGTAATTTGGAGATGAGTGATTGGACAACCTCGTAGCCATGCTTTTTGATGCTAAAAATGGCTGTCGTAACCCAGTATCGATCACTTCGGTTACTGCAAATCACTTCGGTGGCACTTGATAAACCAAGTTGAGTCGGTTAACAGAGTGGTCGGTATCGACCAAATGAGCCGCCATTGCACTTGTCACATGTCTGATTCAATAGTTTCCCTGACATATGTCCAGTAAGTTTTTGCCACGTTTGCGGACAAATGTAGAGCCTTGGGTTGGTGCCTTATCCTTGATACTGATATTGACAATATGAAGCGAATCTGAGGTGAATCTGAAGTCAATCTTCACATGCGAAGCACAAATTTTTGAGAACACCACAAATGCGAGATTCAGCTGCACTCCAGTTGAGCCTCTATCAGAAGAAGCAGCTCCGAACGTAACGGGACTACATAACTGCCAATGGAATAACCGTTTTTCGTTTAGACAGATTTGATTGGTTGTTATTCACTCGTCCTTGACAGATGAGTTGTATTCTTAGTATCAGTTTTTGACCCGCTTGTACGCGACAGTGATCAATAGAGCAGCTGGCTCGCTCGTTCATTGACTTTTCTGGTTTGGCCAAGTGCACCAGGCGATCAAGCGGCTATCCAGACCGGGATTCACGGTAATAAGAAGGCGTTAATTGACTGTGGTGCACAACAACTTTCTGTTGAAATCAGATGAGTTTATTTGTCACAACTTCTTCTCTGTTAAGCTCCGGAAAATTTTATAGCTTCTGAGAGCCAGCTTGACGTTAAAAAGCAGTTTTTGGACTAAAGATATCCATCCATCTTCTTTCACACTAGTCTCTTTTAGATATCTCAGTAGAAACTTATCTGAGTTCTCGTTTCCTTTGGGAGGTCCTGGGAGTTGAATTCAATGCCATCCATTAAAATTTTACGAGTGCTGTTTTTCACGACAAAACGTCATTCACCAGATTCATACTAATTTTTGTATCTCGCTTTCGTCGGTAATCTAGGGTTTTCGGACACATGAAGTGTTTTGCCCTCCGCAAAAGACCATAGAGAATGTCGTGAACTAAAGAGTGTGGAAAAGTCCACCAATTTCGCGTTTTTTTTAATTCTCAGTCCAATGAGCAACATCAACACGCAATACCTGTACCCAAATGCTACCTTTTCGGTCGAAATTTGAACCAGTTAGTCCTGATAAGACCGATGCTTGAGGTGGAATATTCACACATCACTTACTGCGTTTGCTGAACAAAATGTTCGAATTCTACTGAGACCGGAACTGAAACTGTTACTTTTGTACGGAATAATCAGACTTCATCTGTTTCTGGACAGATCAATCAGACAAAAGCGTTGACCATGTGGCTCAGATAAAGGGAGCAATAACAGAATGATTGAAGGTTCACCTGGCACCCAGATGAATCTCTCGTTTATGATGTCTTTACATGAGGCTGCTTGGTGTATCACATTCATTTGAATGAGACCACTATAATATAAAAGAGAAGCTGGTTTCCAGGTTAGTCTCCTACCAGAGCTCTTTAGTACCTTCTGTTTAAAATGCTTCGTAGATAGTCTGTTTCGGTTATGTGGAGGAAGTTACAATTTTATCTATTTTATCAATTTCCTGTGAACATATGAGCATATTGAAAGTGATCATGATTACGGTACCCATAATGAAGGTGATGCATCATGGTGGTCGTTGGCTTGTTCGCTGCGGTGCGTTATTGTGGAGCGTGGGAGTGCGTAGCGGTGGGTTGTTGGTTGTTCGGTTGGTGGCACAACCACCAACCCACCGCTACGCACTCCTACGCTCCACAATAACGCACTGATGATGTCACCTCGATCGGTGATGAAACGTTTGCAATCAAATTGCCCAGCTCAGCGAACAAGCCAACGAACACCATCTACGCTACCTGAGCTACCAAAATTTTCCTGTAATGCATCATCTAGTATTTTTAGAGAAAGTTAAAAAAGTCGAGAGAATCTGTATGTCGATGTATCTGTATATATGTATATAGCAAGGATGTTTGTAGCCGGTCACGAATGAAACAGAGTCTAGAAACACCCTAGAAACGAAACCTTCTGAGTAGTTTCCTTTATGAAAAACGACCATATCATATTGAAGAGCCCAGTATGAAACAGATCAACGGAGTAGTCCTGAGTGGCCCCAATGCCTGACAAAAATGATGCATAAATGGCACACTACTTGCAAGAAAACAGTAGTAAAATAAGGACGCGCTCCAGTTTGAGTCGGTGACATCCCACCGCTGTGAGGTTAATTATAGTGTTTCTCACGTTTTTTCAACTAATGAGGATTCGTCACTATTCCATGTTAGTTTGGCCACATTATTGACAAAATTGTGCACTTTAAGCTGACTGCTTAGACTCACATGCGGTACGACAATTTTCTGAGCAAGTACCGGATATGTTAGGTTACTTCAATGAAATCGCTATTCGAGTCAACGCAAACTATTTGACGGCGTATAGATGGCAGATCTCATTGCGTCAATGAATTTGACCCGATGACCAACATACTGTTAATTAGGAGAATACATGCCGTTACAAGGACGTGGCCATGACCTCCCGATCGAACACTCGACCATTCGGCTACAAGCGGCCAATCAGCAAGGTGATTCATTCACACCAGACAGGATGCAGCCCCACTCATCACATGGTCACGTGTTGACTGGCTGCCTGATTGGAAGTTTGGTTCATTGTGGATATCGACCAATCCTCTGAGCTACCAAATGAATTGACAATTCAAAATAATTATTTCCTACGAACAAAGTAGCCCTTTTGATGCAACAAATTTCTCTTGCCACATCAAGCTTAGCCCTCTGAGGTGTTGTAATATTGTGTTCCTTCCTTCATAAGGAAAAAATAGCCTACCTGTGAACAACTGTGTTATGATAGCTACTTAAAAGTAAACGTTGGCATGGAAATCTGAGTGCGCTTTGCACTCACTGCTTGAGATCAAATCGCCACTTTTCATATGCTTGATAGAATCAGTCCTCATTTAAATCGGTCAACTGGAAGCTTTCGTTTCTTCTAAGAGTGACCAAATGGTGAAGCGATTTGTGGTTCCTAAAAGTATGCAACTGGTCACAAAATACTGTACGATATTTGTCTTCACTATGGCGAGTTTAGTGAACTGTTGTTATGCTTTCGTGTATGACCAGCTTGTCCCGATGAAGTGTCGTGTCAGGTATCACGGGCTCGAATCCTGACAAGACCAAGTACGTGCACCGTTAATGGACCTGACTAACTACGCTGGGACGGAAGGCGGTCTGTCTAGACTAAATTTATGTGCATTTATGCTGTTTTACGCGGAGTCAAATGTGGCAATACGTGCAAGCTGTCAGACTCGAGCGAAGAAGATTATCGGCTAAAGATACAGAGGTTTGCCATCAGTTGTTGGTCCCCTTAAACAAAAGAGTATAACAATGAGCACTAGAGGGTCTATGTTAGCTTACTGTGGTAATTACATCGGTGTAATACCGTACAATTGTTCCTGGTAGCAGCCACCAAGTCGACGATAGATGAGCTGTCGATAGTCCATTATCCATATGATTCATGACATTGTCATCCTTAAAATGACAATATTGTAGACAAATACTGATGAGAAAAGGGAATGAACCAAGCTATTTTGGTTGTTTAGATGTATAGTATTCTCGCAACATAATTTTTTCTTTCAACAAGGGCAAAGTCGAATGTGAAATGAACCTGCTAACCGCCGTGGACGCTGAGAACTCGCCAGCAGGCCGAGCTCGAGAAGAGCCGAACGCATTACCAAAACCAAAGTAAGCCATTACTTCTTTCGAACGTCTCCATTTCCTTGCACTTTTCGCAGTTCAACTAATTTTTCTCTAGCTATTTATTGAGACATTTGGTAAATGAATGTCGCTACCTATTGTAGTGACAGTTAAACAAAGTCGAAATTTGATTTACTATGGATTTCATCGAACGAAGTACTATGGGCCCATAAGACGTCCAGATACACTACATACTGGTTAAGTTTATAAGAGACATGGAATCTGTTAGGACATATGTTCGGCAGAATACTTGGATTGCTTCAAGTAGTACCGCTGTGATTGACCGGGTTGGCTTTCTTCTAACAGACGGTGGGATACTGCACACCCACGGTTCACATACATAAAGGAAAACAGTCGCTGTTTTACTGTTCAATTCAGAAAACCACCACTTGACTTGTTTAGCCGGTGTTAATGGTTGAATAGTTTTTCCAAACATCTACCGACAAGAAAGGTCTTATTCCAACTCTATCTTTAATTACTGATAACTCAGTGATATTGCTAACGCTGCAAATGAGTTGTTTACCATTCAGCGAACACGTAATGTGATAAGGTGAGAAGGATATCCTTAGATAAATTTCAAATCAGGTGATTCACGCGCACGATTCAAAAGATGCTTACGCCTTTCCCTCCCTGTATGTCTCCCCCTCTCTTCAGTCGTCCAGACAGCTCCTTCCAGCGAATACTCGGGCCGCTAAATACACTTCGATACTTCTGCAAGTATAAGCTGAAGTGGATCCTGATCAAAATATTGATCATCTTCCTCTTTTTGCTTATCATCGCTCTGTTCATCTACACCTTTCCAGGAGCTATTGTCTACAGGATTGTAGGTGCGTAACTCCTATCATACATACCCTCCACGAGGAGCATTGCCTTCGTACCTGTTTGGCATTTGGAAACATTACCCGATGGTATCATTGCCTTTTGTGTGTCCCTGATAAACTTTTCTAGCCGTTCGAACCCAAATTTCAAGAATTCCAATTTTTGTTTACGGTCAATGAACGGGACTCAGTTCCCTGAGTAAAACGGATACTTGATATCTATCAGAACCTTTGATTCATTCTTGGATAGTGCAACGAAAAGACTGAATAAAATATAGGATAATGAAATTTGTTCAACTTTTGTTTGTTGCTGAAAGATATGGGCTGGATGCAATGAGACCAAGCCAAATATAGGGTACCCGGAAAATGCATTAAGCAGACAGGTGAACGATCTTGTCAGATGCTCATTCTATGCACGTGTATGAATTAGATATGGAGTTTTATATTAATCTTTTGCCGACTGGGGTCGCATTTTAGCCTCTTCATTTAACTGATTTTTTATTGAACCAGATTCTTAACAGGAAAGCACCAAACGCTGCTACTGTCGTCTAGCCTTACAAGTAGTATCATGACACGGAGACACCGGACTGAGCTGCTCTGCGATCCGTTACGGAAGTGAGTGGTTCTGCCCCCCAGCGTCCTAAAATCTGATTGGCCGACTGACAGTCTATCTGTCCCGATCCGTTAACTAGCCAGCTGACTTATTGATTTATCGACCGGATGAGCGACCACCAAACCGATAGGCTGCCTGACTGACAAGTGGAGTTATTGACCGCCTGGAGGTTCGGGGACACACGAATAACACCATACAATACAATGGGTTACTTACTAGGCACAGTACAAACTCAATGGTACAAACCGGTAGCTATACTGGGCACAAAATGTGGTACCAATAACTGTGAGGGAATCACTGTCACCACATGCTTTTTCGTTCATAATGTAATTGAACTTAAATCTTAGGTAGAATTATCAATATTCACAATGTTTGGTTTTCATTCTAGTTTCTTCTCAGCCTTCGTGGAAAAGCCAACACCTGTAATGAAGTATAGGTTTGAAAAGAGTCGGGACCAGATGGATGCAAAAATGAATATGGATGCAATGCTCAAATTAACCACCGGTCTAATTATTATTACGTGCAAACCAACTAGTCTCATTTGGAAGTTTTTAAGTGTTCATGAAAGCGGTCTGGATAGATAATCTTGCAGTTGGAATAGCAGAAAATACTTGGATGAACCATTGTTATCATCATTGTTGCTTAGTTTTAACGGGACGAGAACCAGGGGTGCATTGTTCAAAAAGGCACACATCAGTCAACGTACCTTCCTCACAACTTGTTCACACATATGTCGAAGTTTGCGCTAGACCATGCAAGCACCAGTCCGTCCTCACAACTAGCTATCAGTAGGGATTAGACTCCCCTACTTGTGACTTTACGGTGTTCAAAACTGGATGCTTCCCGTAGTTTGTATGCTTTATTCTGAAAGTTCAGCAGATATTATCAGTGATTAGTCCACCCCATAGCAGTTTATTGATTTCACAGCCGTAGGATCCCGGTGAGTACTAAGTGGTGAACGCATGAAGGGTATGCTGGATGGAATTCGAATAATTCATTTTGCTCCGCTCGAAACTCAAGAGTGCGAAAAAAACTTTTCTGTCACGAGTTTCTTCAGTTTGATGTGTAGTTCTTTGTCCAAGGTACATCAGCTGGCATTCAAGTTCCCCGTTTTTTCCATGGAACAAAGGATGTTAAGGTTGCCAAACTTTCCCAGTACATGAGTTGCTTTTCACCTTAGAGTAATGGAATCGATGTTAATTTTTTGCACTTTCGGAGTGCGTCTGCTGTCTTCGTTTTTTAAATAGTGAAGTCACATCGATTCCACAATCTAAGAGAGTGGACCGTGTTATAGCATTCTCTTTACAAGCCATCAACATCTCAAAATCACCTCCAGGAAAGCACCAGTCTTTTTATCTTTGTATTGTGAACAGCTTCATTTGAGAAACATCTTCAGGGGGGAGTCCACATATTTAGATCATTTTTCAATTTGGACCAAACGTGCTCACATAGTAATCCTGGAAACAAAGGAGAGGCACTTGTTCTCGACAGAGTACTATTCAGACAACCTCTGTGTAGGTTACAAATGTGCTGTTATCCTTGGTTCACCACCTGGTCAGAGCGCAAGGGACTCGGACAAAACACGACCAGCTTGCACACACACACGCACACACCGCTTGCACTGTTTTTTCACTCTGTGGAACAGTGAAGAGCTTCCAAATAGTGGTTCGCGTTCCACTGAAAAAGATATGCCTTTGCCAAACGGGGAACATTCGCACACACCCTTGCACTGTTTTTTCACTCTGTGGAACAGTGAAGAGCTTCCAAATAGTGGTTCGCGTTCCACTGAAAAAGATATGCCTTTGCCAAACGGGGAACATTGGTCGATGGACTGCGTCCGTCCATTTTATTGATCTGCTGCATGCATCGAAATAATGGGGATATCGAGAAACGATGTAGTGAAAGAGAAAAATGGATTAACAATAAGCGGAGATACATCACTAGTCTATCCATTGCCCTGGCCTCTGCACTTCACAAGCCTCGTGATGATATGGTATGCGCATAGCCTGGTTAAAACACTGCACCACAGATTTGCGTTGATGATACAGTTCAAGCAGAACTCAGTAACTTTCAACATATTCTAGAATATAATGGCTATCCCGAGGTGGGCACTAGGAAACACAATATACAAACATCCAAACTAGGAGGCACTCGTGCTGTCCCCAGGCTTGACATTCTCATACATCTGCCATTCCGAGGGCACGATGTCAGTGGGATCGTACAACGTATTCTGTCACCTATAATATGGAAAACCTACTGCGCAGCCAGGCCTGTATCTGTTCACCAGACAACCCGAGTTCCAACCGCCATCCACAGACCCACGTACGAATGCTTGGTCACCTCCCCAAGCCGAACGGAACAAGATCAACTATTGATCTACCAGACAGGCGCGTGATAAATCCTGTATTAATTTGACAGCGTGACGGTGGTAACTGTGCTCAATGGCTCAATCGTTATCGTCGATCGTCCACTATACTGCCAGTGCCTCTCCGTGCTCTGTACACTTGAATTCCTCATTTCATGGTCAGGTTTATTGTTACTGTCCCCTGCACAGAGACTCAGAAAGATCTCACGCAGTAAGAGAAGATAAAATCGATCTTTAGACCCTCCATGGGAAAAGCAAGTTCAGTGGCCTACGTAGTAAACTTGAGGCAATGCGGTTGAATATTAGGCAGAAGCAGTCTGGCCTTGATCCCATTTGAGACAAATTTCAAGAGGAAACAGTGTCTTGACGGTATTATCCGAAAATGTATCATTTTATGGTAGGAATTCACGTTTTCTGACTCCCTACGATAAGGGTAATTCAAACCTATACCTTTGTGGATACAGACTCAGTTTGTAGGGTCAGATATAGAGATTTTCTGTCACGCCAAATAGTGACTTTTTTTATTTGAATCGTGTGTGATTCTGTGCAGTGTGGTGTATCCATTAAATCCTACGATGGAGGTTGTTGGATAGGTTTAAATATCGAGTTGGATGATTGATCTGTGATGCGAATTGATGGCCGTCCTTCGGTCCTACCAGCGTTCACGCATCTCATGTTGCTGGCATATTGAGCAAGTCCATAACCAACAACTGTTTATACTCACAGTTGACCTTACTTTGAAGGTCATCAATCAGCTCCCCAGTTTCGTTCCTTTCTAGTAGGCCAGCATAAATGGTCGTGCTTATCTTTACTACAAACCCAAGGGAGATGCGGACTCGGTCTATTGATTAGTCAGCTGTATTCAACGATTTTGGCCGAGCTTTCACCGGCTAAAATGTGCATTTAGATTGCGCTCCACTTGCTTACCTGACGTCACTATGAGAGATACGGGAGACTAAACGTCTTGGCCTAGTTGGTAGAAAGGGAGGGGTTTCCCCCTTCTAGAGCTTTTTGGTTAAAAAAGGCAGCGTGATGACGTGGGATTGCGGGAACAAGACGCTGAACACTTTGTCTGTATTGTGTCAAAGCCATCCAGTACGTTATTTGAACCCGCAACTTGTTGATTCATGATATACTGTGCTTTGCGTAACTATAATGCCTTTTACCTCGCTCACTTTGGCTTGACATTTAGAGCGCTAACAAACATGTGCCGTTTTTTTCGTGTATCCACTAGGATTGCCAAAAATTTGGTTCAGTTTGCATATTTTACTGTTTAATTTGGCTTGATCTGGGCCAATCTGATTATAGCTATTCCTCACGCTTCATCCTTCATCTAGAATACTGTTTGCTACATCATTTTGGTTTTGTACAGTCTAATATATGATTTATATCACTTGCTTCTCCACAGGTTCGTCACGGCCAGCTGGCTGAGACCACGAAGACGAGTGGCTTCTTTAGCGCTCAAACACGTCTGTCAATTCATTTGATCAACGGGTGCTGGAATACATTTGTTTATTTCGTGCTTGCTTCTTCTCTGTGGATCCGAGATTCGGAGATTAATTGAACGTGTACTTTGCAATGTGGCGTAGAACGAGCGATTTGCACTCTACACTTGTCTACCACTACTCTTTTCGGAAGTTTATCATAGTTCAGGTCAGTGTGTTCGTTCAGCTTACAAACCGTGCGCCAAACTTCTGTGGTTCCAGCTGCTCCAGTTTAGTTCACGGAGGAGAAAGAGACCCAATCAATGAGAGTCATGAGCTGTAGCCGATGGCTGGATCACTTGACTAACATAGAACGGTTCCAACGAAATACACTCAATTGCAAACGAATTTGGCTTTAAAAGAGACTCACCTGAAGCCCAGCTGAATCTCTCTTTTATGTTGTCGAGGAATTTTCAGCAACCTATATCGAATGGTTCTGTTTGTCTTGTGTGTAAGCGATGGAGAGCTACGCCGTCTGGCAACAGTTTCGCTGCAAGTCTGTAATTGGCTACGTTACACAGCCATATGATTTTTGTTATTGCTCCTAGTGTGAACAGTACGGAAAACTTCATAGTTGGTTGTTTGGATATGTTGGCCGAATGAACAACTGAACGTAACCCCCTAAACAAATGAACATGACAGACTAGCCTAATTCGGTTTGTCAAAGTCATATGGAGAAATAAAGGGGTATGACCTTGATGCATAATCCTGGAGGCAAGATCGCCCTGCTCCCGATGCAAATACCTGTCGGGAGTGCGGCTTAGTACATATAGCAACTCCCGAGACAAATAGAAATATGATTCTGCATATCCGTTCCTTTATTTGTCCAGTCCAACGAGAAAACAGATTAGGCTTTTGTATGAAAAAGATGATTTTGCGGGGGGTGGTAGGTAGCTACGCATTGCAGGCGGGAGCTGATAAATTGGTGCATAAATCCAGAATTGTCAGTGGGGTGTCAAGTGGGGGGTTGGAAAAGGAGCTATGCATTGAAGGCAATAGCGTTGATGCACGAGCGCCACTGAGGGCGCGACTGGGCCATGTCTGACAATGTCTCCAGCCAT